AAGGAGAACAACGGTAAGGAAGCCAAGGCGAAGCCGGGCTTCCGCGCTAGTAGGTCATAAACTGCATGTTATCACAAAAACTCGGGTACGGATTACTTATTTGGTCGCCGCGGCAGGATAGAGGTAGCTTTGCGACAAATTCTAAGGGGGAGGGCGGGTATGAATATGGTTTTGGTTGGAGCTAGAGCACGAAAGTATGGGATCATCCTGAAATTTAGCGGAAGGTCACCTCAATTATGGGAAGAGAGGGAGGGTGGATAGCACTTTTACTCTCGTGTCCTGTCAGAGGACCACGTGTCAGTAATTCCGACCAAAAATTGAAATAAATGCGAAAATAAAGCAGGGGTGCGCGGTTTAACAGCGCCTTCGAGGGGAATTGTAAGGAGAAAGCAAATACAACCAACCGGGTTCTGCGAACTCTCATTGGCCGCCTTTCGGAGTAGGGCATTGGAGAGGGCATTCAGAGCGACCGGAAGGGCGTGCAGAGATTCACCCATGAAGTAGTTAATGGCTACAATGGCGTTTGTGCTTTGTTGTACAACCAGTCCCACAATGAACTGGGTGATATAGTTGTGCAGGCTGGTCATACTCGCGTTCAAAACGCTCTCCTGTAAAAAAAATAGAATCAAGACTTAATTGTATTCTTACAGTCTGAGGCAGGGTTGCATTGTGCAGTCCTAGTGAAGGCGTGGTAGCTAAGGCCACATGAAAGACGGGGACGGCAGTAATAGGGGTTTTATGGGTGGGGTACATGGGAAAGTGCATAAAGTGGCCAAAGTGACATATGAGCAACGACGAAAACAAAAATTACTCAACTCACCTCAAAAATGGAGGGACTATCAAGCCTACGGATGGTGGCCTGCCTGGGCACAAATTGGCTTTCATAAGCCGTCAGTAGAGTTCCCGCGTCAGGGCTAGGTGCAGTTGCCGTGGCGACGACCAAACCGGTACCGAATGGTTTCAGGGAGAGGGCCAATGAGGGTAGGTTATCGGAGGCGCTGTTGGCAAACTCGCGGTAGAGGAGATGGGCCACCAGACTGCAGATGCACGGGATGAGGAGTTGGGCGAAGGTGAGAAGGGGGTGTCGCTTGCTGTATGTAAACCGCTTCCCCAGGAGGGCAAAGAGTTGAGAGCAGTAGAGGGCGATGCCGGTTGCGCTACGTATCTCAAGTGGCTCGAGATCAAGAAGAGGTCCAGCTGAAAGTAGTAAGAGTTAACGTGAGGCGAAGGGGTGAGTGTGTGGCGGGAGAGAGGTACGGAGGGGTATCGATGTGACACAAGGCTGAATAACTGCAGGCATAGAGTCGGCTTTAAAGATTGGTGTGTGTACCTACCCTCCTTGGAATTAAATCCTGGTATAATTTGGGGGCGATTGGCAGATTTGTATAACACAACTGACCCAATTGTGAAAAATTCGCGGCCGTTACTAAATCTTTTCCTTGTTGACGTGGGTTCGAATCCCACTAAGGCCGCGAATTTTTCACAATTGGGTCAATTGAAATTCTAGTGTGTATATGGTCGTGTATATGAAACGCGCAGAAGACGTGATTAGGCGTGCCAGTCACTGCGCTTATTCCCTGCGCCAGATAACTGACGGGTTCTCGTGTCTGGGAAGGGAAATGTAGAGTGAAGGCTATGGTTCCGTGCATTTTCCTCACAATAAACAATCTGACGGGCTTGAAGCTATCACAGTGCGCTAAAAGCCGTGATTTGGAAGACTGTCAACTGACGAGATCAGCCCGTCCTCCTTCTACGACAGAGCGTCAAGCCGCAATGACACCTTGATTTGACCTCTATGACAATCACACTGGGTTGGAAGCCGAATTACCCGTGTGCTGTTTGTGTGAAATCCTGATCCATTTTGCGTGGACCAGGAGTGCGTGTGTGGCATGCGTAACAGACGGTTCGGCTTCCTCAGCTTCCGCTTTTCTTAACTGTGTCTTGACGTCAAGCTGTGATGGATGAGGCAGGACAGAGTGCGGGGGATGCTACGCAAGTCTACAATTAACGTAAACTAATTCACACGCAGGTGGCCGTCATTGCGCCAACCCTGTCGTACGGCACACGGTGGATATCGATGACAAATAGAAAAGAGAAACATGAGCTCAGTATTTTCCAATTTCGAAGATCGTTACAGCCCCTACTACTACTTCTTGTCATGACAGTTCGGCTGCCAAATCCGATGAGGTCCACCGTGTGCCCCACAACAAGGTGGGCGCAGAGACGGTTGTTAGGAGCAAGCCTAACTGAGTCGCTTGCAGGTTGTCCTGATAAGTCGCTTCTGCGGCGGACAGCCAACAATTTTTCCTTTGAAAAGTCGTGTTGGCAAACAGCTGTTTTCGGTCATTCACTTCAGGCCGTTACAGTGACATGCGAACTGTCTCAAAGTCATGTGTCTTCGCGGGCGACTGTCCCCACTCGCTGACCTTAAACCGCTTGATTGACATTCATTCGCACACACACGTGCGCATACAAGCGGACACACAGGCGTGCCCAACTAGTCGCAGTTTCTCAAGAGCCACTTGAACGCGCCACCCTGCGGCCATGCAACAAGTGACCTCAAAACTCGATATCCCTCGACTAATCCAACACCCCAACCATGCAACACTTGAACTCGCTTTACAATCACTTAAAAGCAACTGTCACATCTCACACTTGCAGACACTCTGGAGTACGACTGGACGCGGTCAGCATCAGCCCTGGCTTCGCCAGCGGCCACTGCTACCTGAGACAGTAACTCCGGGTTCTGTACACAATAAAACCCTCATTCTGATGATTTCCACCTCTACGCCCTTCTTGTTGTGTTCTTCCTTGGGTATTCAACAAAGCGTAAATAGACAGTGACATCTCGGCTTTAGTAACACTAAAACAACGGTGACTTAGGCCTGAAGTAGTTTATGAGGAAATTAGACATGCGCAGGATCTGCTGCACTTACTCACCTACGCTCGGTGTCAAGACGGAGGTGA